GAATCCGTTGTGACCCGAAGTAATGGCTGCCGCGAACACCGCCAAGGTGGCGACAGCCCTCCCCTTGTCAAGAGCTCCTGTAGGAATCCCAGGACCCCCTCCAGCGGGCAACGCCTGGGATCCCAGGAACGAAAACCGCACCAGTCGCTAAAGAGCCTCCACCTCGTGGCGTAGGCCCTCACAGTGGACGGCGCCCTCGCCCCCTGAGTGGTCTCCACCACCACAGGGGGAAGACCCAGGTCTACGAGGTTCCGCCTCTCAGCCTCCAACCCAGAGCCTGCGGCCGATTATCGGGCGTGAAAACAGGGCTCCTCCCCCCCTGGACTAGAGCCCCCGGCTCGTCCGGGAGGGCCCAGGGCTCCATCACCGCCATGCCCCTCAGGAAGGGGAACCACCGAGCATGCGGACTGTCCGGCGCCACCAGGATCACCGACCTCCTCTCCTGTTCGATCCTCCGCAGCAGGACCGGCAGGAGACGCACTGGTGGGGAACGCGTACAGCAGGCCCCCTGGCCAGGGGTAATGAGCCAGAGCGTCCACGTCTAAAGGCGGCTGGTCCGCGGCCCTTGAGGCGAACCAGGACGGGCACTGTGCGTTTCCTGCACTGGCGAAAAAGGTCGACCACTGGACGGCCGAACCTCCGCCAGATCTCCGCAGCCACCCCTGGGGCCAGGCCCCACTCGTCCTGGAGTGGGCCCCCCCCTTGGACATCCTGTCGGCCCCCACGTTCCGGACCCCCGGGACGTGGCGCGCCCTGAGAGACAGGAGGTGAAGCGCCGCCCACAGCAGCGTCACCTTTGCCATGCGATGGAGAGCGGGGGACCTGGTGCTCCCCTGCCTGATCAGATAAGAGACCACAGTGGTGTTGTCTGAGCGCACCATCACGTGTCTCCCCTGCAGCTGAGGAGCAAAGGGCAGCAGTACCCTGTGCACTGCCTCCATCTCCAGCAGGTTGATGTGACGGGCTGAGTCCGACCAGCAGCCTCCTACAGAACTCTGGCCGAGGACCCCGCCCCATCCTTCGAGCGACGCGTCCGTGAACATCTCCACGTGAGACACGGCGCCGGCCAGAGTCACTCCGTCCCGTAGAAGACCCGGAGTGAGCCAGAACCTGATGTTCGATGCTGCCACTTGGGGAACCCAGATCAGCCTCCCCCCGTCCCGGGAGGGGTGAAGCCTGAGGCGTGAGAACCACCTCTGAAAATTCCTCATGTGGAGAAGGCCTAGCCGCACCACAGCATGAGCCGCCGCCATCATTCCCAGCAGGGACCTGAGGCGCCGAGCGGGGACTCTGGGGCCCGCCAGAACCTCCCCGGGCAGACGGGTAGTGTTCATCCGTCTGTCCACGGACCATGCAGCACGGAATGTCACAGAGTCTAGCTGCAGACCGAGATAGATCATGCGCTGAGCCGGTTGCAGCCTGCTTCTACGTCATGGTGCTACGTCCCCTAGCGGACTTCGCTAGTGGGATATCACGTGCACCTATTCGTAGAACTTAAGTTACAAAGGTAACTGTTAATTTTCTCCCTGTTAACCACAAAGCCCAGGCGCTGTATGTGGGACAGGACCCAGTGCGTATGACTCACGGCCACTTCCCTGGATGAGGCCAGAATTAACCCGACGTCTATGTAGATTAATTCTTACCCCTGCTCCACGGCGCGAGTGCGTAGCCCAAGGGGAAAACGACAGTACTCGTAATTCCTCTCTCCCACTGCGAAGCGCAGAACCTCCTGTGTTCCGGTACTATCGGCACGTGGAAGTACGCATCTGTCAGGTCTATGGAGCACATCCAGTCTCCTTCCCTGACACACTCGAGGAGCTGCCTTGTGGACAGCATCCGAAACTGTCGTTTGGAAATGCACTCGTTTAACACGCGCAGATCCAGAATGGGATGCACCCCGCCTGATTTCTTTGGCACTAAGAAGTAAGGGGAGTACAGCCCCCTGGTGGCGTCCTGCGGGTCTACCTCCACTGCTGCGCCTCGACTCAGCAGAGAGGAGACCTCCGCTTGTAGTGCCTCTGTCGATCCCCGTACCTGAGAGCGTACTGCCCGTACGCCTCGGAATGGTGGTGGCTTTCGGAAAAATTGCAGCGAGTAACCTCTGCGCAGAGTTTTCTCCAGCCAAATATCTGTCAGTAGGCCCTGCTCCCTCCAGATGTTGTATAAATCTGTGAGGGGCGGAACGGGAGATGGAACACGAGACGTCACGGCCCCGCCCTCTCCTGGTGTTCCTAGCAGGGAGGGGGGGTGGACGAAAGGACCGGGGGGCCCCCTGCGTCACACCGTGAGCGCCGGGGGGCGAGCCCCTGGAGTGGGAAACCCCGTGTTAGCCCTGTAGCTCAGAAATGCTAACACGCGTTCGGCCGAAGCACACACATATCACTCACCAGATCCCTCCGCCTGACCTCTCTCTGGGAGGGCATAGTATGGATCAGAGAAACCGGAGCTCGTAGTGCACTGCACGCCCCTCTCTGGGGCTGCAGGCCTAGCGAAGCAACGTTATGTGCCCGGGAAGTAACACAATCAGAATTCACAATATTTGACATGTTACATACCCCCAAATCAGACTCAGAAAAGTAATGGAAATGCCGGTCGGCCTTTATTGAAGGAAACATTTTTCCACCCCGGCCTCCTCTACCATAGGGAGGTCGGTGGTGGGTGCGTTGCTCCCGCGAGCCACCCATGGGTCTGTCTGGACCCGGGGGCCTCGTCAAGGGGGGACGATAGATAACAGAGCGCGGATACGGGTCAGGATGCCTCCCGGGCCAACGCTCTCTGCCTCTGTCCCGGCTCCGTAATGGCTGGTGGGCCTCGCGCCTCGGTGCTAGGTGCGGGGCTAGCCTAGCCGAGTCTTTAGCTGCAGACTCCAGTCTCGCTACCCAGGCCTGCATGTCCGGGCCGAAGAGGGACATCTGAGAGGTGGGCAGGTCCAGCAGCTGCCTCCTCTCCGCCTCCCTGATATTAGCCAGCCCAAGCCAAAGGTGCCTGGCCCGACTTGGGCTGCTGCCATGGAGCGGCCACCATCCACAGCTAGCGTCTGGCACATGCGCAGAGACGCCGCCGAGGTGGTCCTCGCCTGTGACAGGAGGTCTCCACTGAGCGCCTGGTCAGAAGAGAGCAACATATCCAGGGCCCCCGTGATGAATGCCATGTAGTTAGTCAATGCGAGGGCCTGTGCTGCAATGGCATAACATCTATCCGGCATCGCCAAGACATCCTGTCTCGCTCTGAGGGAAGGAGAGGTCTGGTGTCGGGCCACACGAATGCGGAGGGCTGCAGGGCCATGCGGACTGAATCCTCGGTGTCCTGGCCACCATCCACGGCTAGCGTCTGGCACATGCGCAGGAACGCCGCCGAGGTGGTCCTCGCCTGTGACGGGAGGTCTCCACTGAGCGCCTGGCCAGAGGAGAGCGCCCTATCCAGGGCCCCCGTGATGAAAGTCATGTTGATAGCCAATGTGACGACCTGTGCCGCATTGGCATAATATCTATCCAGCCTCGGCAAGACATCCTGTCCCGCTCGGAGAGAAGGAGAGGTCTGGTGCCGGGCCCCACGGATGCGGAGGGCTGCAGGGCCATGCGGACTGAATCCTCGATCACCGGTCCAGGACCAGTCCTGCCCGCTGCAGTATATGTCGTGCCCCAGAGCAGGTCTCTTGGCTGCTAGGGGCAGCTCACGTGTCGCGTAATGGACGAACGGGTCCATCCGCGGGCACAACGTGGGTTTTATCCTCCTCCTCCCTCGAGTGGTGGCGCCCACAGAGGTGAAGTCCTCCACCGTCTGGATCCAGTGACGACGTCCGACGCCGGAGGGCGAAGGGAACTCGGACGAACAAGGAAGACATCTCAGAATGAAGTAGTACTGTGGTAGATCTCAAACGGCGCCAGAGTGAAAGAGGGGGTGCGGCCTTGTGCAGGGGCATTTATAGAGGAAGGTGGCTGGTGATTGGAGCAAATTATTTTGATCTCTCTGGCGTGTGACCTGGGGGTCACGAGTGATATCCACTAGCGAAGTCCTAAGGGACGTAGCACCATGACGTAGAACTGTTCATGCATACACGGGTTACAACCCTTTTTACCTATCAACACCTACATTTTGCCTGCCTATTTCTCAGACGGATTTTGCCTCCTCTCTTGAAGAGAAGCTGGGAGTGGCCTTTGATAACACAAGGTAGAATGCTACAGTTGCCCATGAGAGCCAGAAACTGTATCATGGCTTTCACAAACCGTACAATGTAAGTGATTTAGTGTGCCTTCACAGCCCCAGGGAAGATAGTACGTTCACAAAGCTAGCTGCACACTAGAAAGGCACATATAAGGTTGTTGATGCTGTGAACTCTGAGGAGGTAACAGGGCTATCTAATCGTATTTTTGATCCTTTAGTTGTATTATGGGCCTTGGCTGGTCCTTCCTGGCTGCGTGTGTAAGTGTGTGTGTGTGTGCGTGCGTAACGTCACTGTAGACTCGATGGCCACTCCACTTGGAGCCGTCCTTTGGTCGACTGCTTTAAATATTACAGCCAAAGCGCAAAGAAGACCCCGTTATCAACAGAGCTTCTTCACACAAAAACATATAAAATTTTACAATATATTAAAACAATTATTATTATTATTATTATTTTTACTATTACTAATAAATATATCTATAAGCACCGCCCGCCTGCTTTGCCCCGGTTTTCTACCCGTACCCAATGAGGCTGCGAGTAACATCCAAGTAACCAATCAGAGTGCGAGACGCTGATGATTGACACCTTAGTGGGGGAAGAGGTTCGAGCAGCTGTCACGACGCGCGAAATCTCAAAGAGGTTTGAGAGGCGCGCTGAGGAGGCGAAACTCGGACCGAAGTGGACTAAAGTGGACCAGACACAGGCCAAACACGGACAACCCTGCTCTAAATGCGAGTCTACACACCACAAACCAGCTCTCCTCTGCACCAACACTGGACGTGGACGTCGGAAAGTGCCGCTAAAGGCCGAGTTTGGGGCAGACAGCTGGGACAAAGATGAGCCTGGAGCTTCCTTTTCAAAAGGTCCGTATCTAACTAAATACCAGGGTTTTTTGACAGCCTTATGAACATAGAGCAGATTTCAACCTATTATATCTTAGTCTAAATGCTAAAGCGTTCCGTCATAGTGTTTTATTGCACATTTACTAGTTAGCTCTGAAGCTAGCTCATATCCTGCCTTCTGCCTTGTACATGACATGATGAACCCTTCAATCAGAGGGTTTCTGTACTTTTTATATGGCTAACCTGAACTTAAATATGCGATTAGATCTAACATGGCATTTGATGAGTTATAATAGGAACAATTATCACTAAGGCTTGACTCTAGCAGCTAAAGTTTAACTTTCTTCTGCCGCTATAAACTCTGTTTGCTTTGTCCGTGTGTAAGCTTAAACTATCATCCAACACTTCTCCATATGACATGAGGCTGTTTTCCAACGCTGTTACGTTACACCACATTCCAGTCATGCTGGATTCTGTAGTTTCACGTTTCTATTGTTGAAATGGCGCTCATTGAATATAGTTCTCAGACCGCTAATGCCAATAGTTGTTTCTGTAGGTCTAAATGTAAGACGGCCTTAGATTTAACGTGCTCTTATCAAAATACAGCATCACATGTTAAAACTCATGGTAAATACCGTGACCAGTAAGGCCTAGGACTAAATATAAAGCAGTAAAGTGCTATTGTCAAAAGGCCTTGTTTTAGCTACACCACAACCATTTGGGAGATGGAGAGAGTGTAGTCCCTCCTGTGGACTCACCACCTGCAGAGGGTCAGTGAGGGGCTGGTGCTATGAGACTTGGGTGGCATCTCTGATTGCCACCCCCCTGACCCAGAAATGGATTAAAGGGTAGAAAATGGATGGATGGATGGATGGATGGATGGATGGAGAGAGTGTAGTAGTGTTTATATTGGAAGTGGTAGGAGACCAGGGGAGGACCAGGACACTGGAGATGGAAATCTGTGTCTCTGCTCAGACTGTGGCCCCTCCGACCTGGCAATGGATAAAGCAGAAGAGTAGATGGGTGATGTTATCAATACAGATTCAGATTCATTTATTTGCCATTTGCAGTAAAACCACATTGCTCTATTCAAACTGACAACAGCTTGTGGGAAGAAGCTGTTAGCAGATCGAGATGTCCTGCATCTCAGCGAACGATATCTTGTGCCAGAAGGAAGAAGCTGGAACATGGCTTTTCCAGGGTGGCCAGAAGAGTCATTGATTATTCTAAGAGCTCGGTTTAAAAGTCTGGATTTATAAAGAACCTCCAGAACAGGCAGCTCACAGCCTACAGTCCTCTTTGCAGAGCGGAGCACCTTGTTTAGAGCTTTGCTATCTTTGGCTGTGATGTTATCAAACCACACAGTCGCAGAACCGACAAGTAAACTTTGTTTTATTTTTTATTTATTTATTTTACAGGGACAGTACAACAAAAACATTGTCACCTACAGGTAACCGATGTTAAGTACACAGGGCTTCTAGCCAAAGGCTAATTGGCCCCCGTCCCTAGTTAGTTTTCAGTGGTGCAGCGATAAAAGTTGAGCAGAATCTTAGTTAGTTGTAAATTCTATACGTTTTTGCAGAAAGGAGAGACGCTGACGAGCTTTCTTAAGAACCTGGTTAGTGATCGACAATACGATGTCCAATCCTATTCTATTCCTGCTGTTAACAGACATGAGACCTGGAACTGCATGTTTTTCACAAAATGATTAAATGATGAATGATCAAAATATATAATGACTAATGTTAAATTTAGCTCAAATCAACTTTGAGGTCATCACTGTGTTCAGCCTGATTTAAATGTGTTTATTCCCATTGTTGTTTCAATCCTTTGTTTGAGAGGTGTCAATCTCACAAGATGTTTGAAGCTCTATGTGTCCATGGATATTTGTCTATGTACTTGCATCATAAAAATTACATTCAAACAAAGATTACTTCAATTTAACTTAATTTTGAGATTCCAGTTCAGTGATTGGACTGAACCAAAACTGGGTTAGCTCGGCCAAAGATTTGAGTCAAATTTAATTGGTTGCAAGTAATAAGTCTTTCTCTCTTTCTCTTTCTCTCTCTTTCTCTCTTTCTTCCCCCCCCCCTCTGGTTAAATGATAGTGTTGAGTAAAATATGTGGTTTTATAGAGGTGCTAATCTTAAAATGATGTTTAACACACCCAGATAAGTTCATATGATTCTTCCATCAATGCTGCAAGTTTATAGTAATACTTCAGTGGCCACTGGCCTGCCGTGCAGTTCTTATGGGGGCCTGGTGTTAATCTGTTTGCAGGCAGAGTGTGTTCCTGTGCAGTCTGTAGCTGAGAGCGACTCTGACAGTGGGATGGGCTCTCCGGCTCCAGAGAGGGAGAAGACACAGGAGCCACCGGGTAAACGCACGCACTCATACATGCACACATGCTCCAGGGAGAGGGGGAGAAGACACAGGAGCCACTGGGTAAACGCTATTTTGAAGACATCTGACTGAGATGAGAAACGTTCTCCAACACACACACACACCTCTCCATAACTCATTGTTAGACCTGTTCTTTTTCCACAGTGGATTCTGAGGAAGAGGACATTGTCACACAGAGAAAACCTCGTCGTCCAGCCATCTGTGATAGCGACAGTGAAGAGGAGACTCCAGCAGACCCCTGCCAGGACCCCAGCCTCCACAGCGACCAGGATATCCATACGGCCCAGGCTTTGTTGCTATCCCTCTCCAGTGATGAAGACTGCACTGAGCCAAGTGAAGCAAAGAGAAGTGTGGGGAGAAAGCACCGTATCCACCGTGCTCCTGTGGACAGTGACGAAGATGAGGAGAAAGAGAAGGAAGAGGAGAGACCCAGAGACAAACCAAAGCGGGACAAAAGTCAGAGACACGAGCAGAAGGAGAGACGCAGTAAAACTGTGAACAAAGGGAAGGAGAGAAGGAGGAGGGTCCCTGAAGAGGTGAGAACAAAGAGAGAGGGAGGTCAGAGAGAGATAGAAATAGAGAGACCATACCTTGACAGAATATATAAAATGTTTTAAGTTCCAGTGTTAAACATCTTGTGTCTCAGGAGCAGTCTCTCTCTCGGCTGAACGACAGTGGGTTTCCTCTCATGGACACAGAGCTATTTGACACTGGTCTCAATGATGATGATGATGATGATGAAGAGTCTCTGGATGTCATCACAGCTGCCGTCAAGAAGAAGCTGAAGAAACACAAGGCGAGTGTGACAACAGCAGACGATAACATCTGAAGAATCATGTTCCTGATGTTACGATTCACTCAACCCCTGATTTGATTGTTGTAGTATCCCATAGGGCTAGCTTGTTTGTGTAGCGCTTTACAAAACAAGAGGAACTACTGTGATTGTTTTTAAATGTGATGAGTTTGAATGTAATCTTTCTTTGATTACATTTATAGGAATCGTCTGTGTTCAAAGATGAAGAGGAGTCTGAGAAACCCCAGCGAGTGGTAAACCTCAACACTGACACTACAGTCCGACTAATCACATGCATCGTGTGTTTATCTCAGTGTGAGAAGAACAGTGCTTAAATTCTATGTGAATAGAACACTGCCTGACTCTCACCTGCAGGTGGCGCCACATTACACCACCCTTACAAAGAAATAAAGAAAAAAGAATATATCAATGTTTTCCCTACACAAAGTCTTCAAAATCAGAGTCAAAAACTAGGAATGTGCTATTGCTCAGTGTTCAAACAAGTTGTAAGAGTGAAATTGGGTAAATGGGAATATGTGTTAAAATTACTGCTGTACTGAAAGTCATTGAACCCTGGGATCAATGCGTTTTAATATACTTGTAATGTTTCCTCAGGAGCGAAAAGCAGCACGAGCAAGTAAAGAGGCCATGAAGCAGCTACATAGTGAGACTCAGAGACTCGTCAGAGGTGACATTCAGTTTTTTTTGCCCTTTGCAGTAAACCCTCATTGGAACACGTATGCACAAGTCATAAATAATAAAATAATTGACACTATTTTCCTGTTTTGTTCCAGAGTCCACCCTGGGTTTGCCATATCACGTCCCTGAACCGAAGACCATTGACCAGTTCTTCAGGAAGAGGGCACGACCGGAGGGACCTGCTATGGCTCTGCTCAAGTGAGATACATCTGTATGCAATAGAGAAACGGAGGGGAGGGAGAGTCCGGCCAGGGAGGGAGGGAGGGAGGGAGGGAGGGAGGGAGGGAAGAGTCTGGCCAGGGAGGGACAGAGACCAAGGCTGTACATAACTGTTCTGTCTTTTTTGGTAGTAATTATTTATATAATGGTAATATGCAAAATTGTTTTTTTCGTAGGTCTACAAAATATTCTGCCATTTTGTCTATCCCGCCCCCATCCGAACCAGTGCCTCCCTCTCCTGAACCAGACCTACCAAGTCCATCTTTAGACCTCCCTCCAGTCCAGACGGAGCTCCCCCACCCGAGTGCCACCTCCTCCCCACAGAAAGACTCTCTCTCTCAGCTTGAGGACACTCCCTGTACCTCCACAGACGCCCAGTCCGACCAGGCCCCTGAACCACTGCTGTTTCTGTCTGAGAGTTTGCAAGAAGATAAAGCTGGAGCTGAGGCTGAGCCTGTGGTGGTGATGGAGGAGGAGAAGCATGTCTTTGTGGAGGAGGTGAAAGAGGAGTTGAAGCCTAGGAAGGACAAGCGTTCGAGGCTCAGAGAACTGGGACTGGACCCTCCTCCTGTTGCCAAGCTCTGCCCAGACGAAGGAGCATTTGTGCATTTGGATCCACCACAACCAAACATCGGTGAGAGACGATCAGTTTAATCTTCAAATACTCACTGTGTGGACTGTTGTGGATTCACTAACGACAGATTAGAGAATCCAATGGATCAAACGCACAAAATGTAATGATAATAACACTGGGGCCGCAGACCCAGGACTGAGGGCGCAGACCCAGGACTGAGGGCGCAGACCCAGGACTGAGGGCGCAGACCCAGGACTGAGGGCGCAGACCCAGGACTGAGGGCGCAGACCCAGGACTGAGGGCGCAGACCCAGGACTGAGGGCGCAGACCCAGGACTGAGGGCGCAGACCCAGGACTGAGGGCGCAGACCCAGGACTGAGGGCGCAGACCCAGGACTGAGGGCGCAGACCCAGGACTGAGGGCGCAGACCCAGGACTGAGGGCGCAGACCCAGGACTGAGGGCGCAGACCCAGGACTGAGGGCGCAGACCCAGGACTGAGGCCGTGTATTTTTCTTTCAGGTGTGGAGCTCTTAAAGGCTCGGTACCTGCGTCACGTCATAGCTCCAGTGCAGCCTCAGAAAGAGCGGCCTCTGCAGGTGAACATTGTGAGGAAAGAGATTGGAACCTCAGGGAAAGAGGAGCTTCTCTCTGAGACTATGACTGTAACCATGAAGGAGGAAGAAGAGAAACCAGCACTGACCAAACCAGGTGCGTCACCTGACACCATCCGTACACATGACTACGCGAGACCGCAGGGCGGTAATACGTCAGGACAAATAGATAATTGTTGTTTTTTGTCGCAGGAGCAAAGCTGTTGTCTCTAAAGGAGCGTCTGCAGCTGGCGATGGCTCAGAGGAGGAGAGAGGAGCGAGCGAGGAAAGCAGAACTGAACAGACTAGACAACGAGGAGGGAGAGGAGGAGGAGGAGGAGGAGGAGATGACTGACTCTGAGGCAGAGGTGAGTAGGAGTAGATCAGAGACTGACTGCAGACGTGAGGAGGAGGAGAGTGCAGACTGAGGCAGATGTGAGGAGGAGGGTCAACTGGCGGGCAGGTGGCCCAGCTTTAATAACATGCTCTTCTCTTTGTGGATGTCTTCAGGGCGTGGAGGAGCTGTTGGGAGCAGATGAACCGGAGGAGGAGGGCAATGTGGCTCCCAGCATCAGGAACGTGTCTCGTGCTCCTGTGACTCCAGACCTCCTTCACACTGAGGGGACTCTACTCTTGTTCCCAGGAAACTCCTGCTCACGTACCGGGTGAGAAAGCACCTCCTCCTGCTGCTAAGACGTTTGGCTCCTCCTATGCTCCTTTCTCTGGGCTCCTCCCTATTCTTATCATGTGTTTGTGTGCAGAATATATGGACACTGGAGCAGACATATGTACGCATTATGTAGTTGTTCTCGATAAAATTATCTTTAAAATAATGTACTGGTATAACGTATAAGCCCAGACTCCCAGTGAGGGAAGCTCTGAGACCCCTGTTTTAAAGATAGATACTTTATTGACCCCCCGTCAGAGAAATTCAGGTGTCCAGAAGCAGCTTTTTAGAATAATCAATTTTATTTTTTATTTTTGCTAACAATAGTAATAATCAGCAACAGCCCTTCAGGTCACAGCAGCAGAGGTGGAGGAGCCGCTGGGTGGAGCAGGACAGGTCACAAGGTGGAGTAGCCGCTTGGTTCTGACCATTTTCTCTGCTCTGGTCCAAAGTAAAAGGCTGAATGCTTCATTAGCAATTTTCAAAAAGTTAGTATTCCTCCAGTGGATTTTCACCTGATACGCTTGGTTCGGACCATGACTCCTCTCCTCTCCACTCCAGTCTGGACCAGTGTAAAACCATGAACACTGTACAGCAGCAACATCTCAAAAGCAAGAAAAATAACTAGGCACACAACAACAACTGTTTCAGAGCTACTTAGGACCTGCAGCCGTTTGCCAGCGCATTCAAAAGAGTCCTAAAGTGTAACGTGTCCTTAAGTCCAGTTGTTGATGTCATTTCATCTTTCTCTGCTCCAGTGACGGTTTGAGAAGAGCAGGTGCCTCCGGACAAGACGGCAGCAGCAAAATGGGTGAGCTCTGGTCACACTCTGTCTTTCTCTCTGGTCTCTCTCTGTCTTTCTCTCTGGTCTCTCTCTGTCTTTCTCTCTGGTCTCTCTCTGTCATGCTCTCTTGCTCTCTCGTTCTCTCTCTGGATGTGCCTTCTAATGATCTGTCCCTGTGTCCAGAGGAGGATGACTCTTCGTCCTTGATGAAGGACCACAGTCACAACAGCAGTTTTGATCTTCCTGGTTCGATGCTGACTTCGTACCAGCCAGTGACTCGCGGCGCCCCCAGAGGCCTGTGTGCGTCAGTGTTCCGCTCGCCCTCCCCCTCTCTGTTCAGGCCCAGCTTCCTTGGCTCGGCCTCAAAAGTGAGTCAGAAAACCGGTTCTCTCTCTGGTTTCTTCTGTCGCTGGTCTCTTCTGTCTCTCTCTTGTCTCTGTCCTCTCTCTCTGGTCTCATTTATATTCTTTCATATTGTATGTCCTCTCAGAGTTCTGGTAAGCTGTCGGAGCCGTCTCTCTGCTTACCTGTGGAGGACTCTCAGGACCTTTACGCCCCTCCCTCCCCAGACTCTGGTCCTCTGGTGGGGGAGGCCTCTGCTCCTCTCTCCCTGGGCCGCTTCTCTCTGGAGGATGAGCCTCACTCTCAACTGCTGGACGCCGACGGGTTCCTGAACGTGGGGCCCAGAGTCGGAGCGCCGGCCTCCCACAAACGGCAGCTGGTCCTGGGCAGTCTGGATGAGAACGCCATGGACGCCAACATGGGCGAGCTCATGGGCCTCTGCTCAGGGGCCTTCACGGGGCAGAAGGGGGAGGGACTGGGGGAGGAGGAGCTTATCGGACTGTGCTCTGGAGCTTTCCCACAAACTCAGGCTGAAAACAATATGTTACACAAGAAGGAAGAGGAGGAGAGCAGAGAGGAGATGGAGCTGCTGGGCCTCTGCTCCGGAAAGTTTCCCAGTCAAAGTGAGTGAGTCTCTCTTACCCTGGTCTCTCTCTCTCTGGTTACTCCCTCTCTGGTCTCGCTTGCTAATCTCTCTCTGGTGTCTCTCTCTGGTGTCTCTCTCTGGTGTCTCTCTTTGGTCTCCCTCTTGTTTCTATCTGGTCTCTCTCCAGCGTTCTTTATAATCCAGCTAGTACTGTAATCACATGGTCTTTCGTAATTTCTTCCCTGTAGGTCCGTTGAATACCTCACCTTATAAAAACAGGTAAACTTCCAACTGGAGTGCATTTTTCACGTTTTTGTGCTGTGTTAATGTAAATCTCCTGCTACAGCACTGACAAACCTGAAGAGAAACCTGACGAGGAGGAAGAAGAGTACGAGTTCAAGTTTCTGTCTGATGAAGAAAGTCAAACGGGACAGGTGAGAAACTGCAAGAGCTTTGCAAATCAGGCTGTATACAAATAGCATTGTCCATCTGTATACAGTCTTAACACAGATTGTATGGACAGGTTTATCGACTTATCTTGCTCAGTAAGTTTGTTTTACACTTTTGGGCTTAAATCAGTGGTTTGTCTCTTGTTTATCCTTCTGTTTAAATTTTGACGTTGTCTTATGGCTCTCATCTGGATTCACTATCTTCCCCTGGTCTCTCTCTCTCTGCCTCTGGTTGCTCTATCGCTGGTCTTTTAGACTGTAATGTAATGTTTTCTGTAGAATGAGGGTGAGGAGAGCAGTGGAGAAGAGGAAGAGGTGGAGGAGGACCATGAGGTGGAGGAGGAGGAGATGGAGGCAGTTTTCGCTCCTCACAAAGCCAAGAAGAAGAAGAAAATGTGAGTTCTGCATCTTTCAATGTGGGAATAACACGGGTTTCAAGATCAGCTTTTGAGTAAGTCAAGTTTCATGGTAAACAAGCAATATTTGGTAAAGTGGCTCGCAGAAACAGATTTGTCACAGATTTAAAAGGCAGATCCCGTGAATAGAAAGTCCAGCTACACTTGTGCATTCCTCATCTTCTGGTGAAATTCTTATATTTACATCCAAAACACATTTTCTCCAAGTTGACCTGCTGTTTTTGCTGTTAATATCAGGGAAAACGGCATAGAAGCGAACACAGTGGTAGCGGGTCCATACACTGGGAAAGGCTGTCCGCGCTGAAATGTTGTTCCCCGTCCTGGGGGTGAGGTTACTGTCAATAAAGACGTTGGTTAGCATGCTTAACAGACTATCTAGCGTTACTGAACTATTGAGTAAAAGTAATGTGTCTTATATACTCACAAATATAAGATAGAGGCCCACAGGGCACAACAGGGTCTGCTACGTCTAGCAACAAAGGATGAGTACAGCACGGAGGTGTTCTTCATATTGCTCAGGGGCAGTAACAGCGCGAAATATGAATAATCTGGGGGGTTGGGGCTGTTATCAACACATTAACCACATTGATTAGGGACAAAGGCTTCATTACTCTGAAGTCACACTTGATCTCGAGAGATTTTGTGAGATTTCCGTCTGACCTGGGAATGCTCGGGGGTGAAATCGGTTTGTGTGTGGTTTGCGTGATTTTGCCGTGTGGCTGCGCACCACACATTGTACGACCAAAGTGGTAAGACCCTCGATTTTTTTCATCTCCGTGTGTGGGGTCTCTCAGGTTAGGAAAATTGGCCGACAATTTTAAAATCGTCTCGTGTGAAGCAGGCTTTACTTTTAAACCAGAGAACTGTCAAAAATTGCAGTATGGGACCTTTAAAGCTGCTGCTTGTAATTGTAAATGTGTTATAAAGACTTGAACAAAACTGTTGCATACCCCATGGACTCTCCTGTCACACATGGTCTCTCCCTCCTGTCACAAATGGTCTCTCCCTCCTGTCACACATGGTCTCTCCCTCCTGTCACTCATGGTCTCTCCCTCCTGTCACTCATGGTCTCTCCCTCCTGTCACTCATGGTCTCTCTCCTGGTCCAGGCGGTTGGCAGACTACCTGGAGTCGGAGGCGGAGCTGTCGGGGTCAGACATGGGCAGTGATGATGACGATGATGCAGACGACAGCGAATACGAAGAGGAGGAGATTCTGGAGGATCTGCCTTCTGATGAGGAGCTGCACAACCAGGTCAACAAGATCCACATGTAAGTCACAGGGAGCTCTGACTGCAGACGCTGCTCCCTCTGCTGGCAGCAGGAGGTCTCTCTCTGGTTTCTGCTCTCACTCTCTCTGGTCTCTTTCAGGAAGCAAGTGATGGACGAGGATAAGAGACGTCTGCGTTTGTACCAGGAGAGGTATTTGGCGGACGGAGACCTGCACTCAGACGGACCAGGACGAGCTCGCCGCTTCCGCTGGAAGCACATGGGTGAGGAGGAGGTCAGAGGTTGGGTGAGGAGGGGGTAAGGGCTCTGTACTGACCTCAGACCTGTTTTTGGTGCAGACGATGGGTTCTTCACAGACAGAGGAGTAGACGGAGCTGAGGAAGAGGAAGAGGATGAAGAACTGGACCTCACAGAAGTCCAAAGACGAAGAGAGAGACTGGAGAGAGAGCAGTGGCTGCGAGACCAGGTGAGAGACCAGAGGGGGGAGAGGGAGAACAGGACAGAGACGTCAAAGGTGTTTCTCTCCTCAGTCTGAAACAAAGGGGAAACCATCTGAAGTCGACCCAGAGGAGCAGCAGATTGGGGAGGAGGACAGTCGCTTCATGAAACTGGCCAAAAAACTGACTCAGAAGAAACTAGAGAAGAAAGGTGCGTCTGCGTCTTAGAGCTTTGGAGACCGAGGAGTCGTCATGGCAACAGACCGAAGGCATTTTCACGAGTGGTTTTTTTTTCCCCACAGAGCCTCCAGAGGTCCCTGCAGCTGAGAAGAAACCCACTGTTGCTTTGAATCCTTTCCAAAAGCCCATTCAACACTTACCGGTTTGTGTTTTATGTCGAAAACATACTGTTCTCTCTCTCACTCTCTACAGTGTGTTGACCTTCTGTGTCTTCTCTCTTAGGTGAGGAGGGGCTCTCTCCTCAGCCAGCCTCAGTCCATGCTACAGAAACTGGCCTGTATATCAGACGGGAACCCTCTGGCCACAAGGAACTCCAGAGGCTTCCTGTTCCAGACCCTGTCCCCGGAGAAGGAGGGGACAAAGGACAACACCCACAGACAGGTGGGAAAGATGCTACAGTTATAGAAACCAGGGAGACACCGTCATCTCAGGTCCTTTCATTTAAGAGACTGTAGGGTTCCTCCTGAATTTATTTTAATGCTGTCTTAAAATATTCCAATAAAATGTTATCAGGATGGACTACAGGGCGATAAGAAGGTACTGGCTTAAATTCCTCCAGTTTCCTTTATGTCTAAAATCATACATAAAACCGTACCGTAGGTCTGTGACTGCACAGTGGAGGAACTGGTTGCCTACAGCAGTGGTTCCCAAAGTGGGGGTCCCGACCCCCGGGGGGTCGCGGGAACCCCTGGGGGGGTCGCAAGATGATTCCACACACAAAAAAAAGATTTTTTTTGCTCAAAAAAAAAAGTTGTTTTTTTGGAGCAAATATAAAGTCCTTAAATATTTATTTAGCATTTGATTTGTTTCAAAAGGACTACTTGTTAAATTGTGTTTGGAGACTATAATATATTTTAATAACGTTAGTAAATTTGTCCCAGTCATTGCAGCGTCAATCAAAATCATCACGTAACACAGCTCACATCATGCGCAGCGACAAAGCGTGTCCTGCTGTTGTTTGCTAAAACTAAAGGTGTTTGGAGGCTACAAATAAATAATACCTGCTTTAAAATGAAACGTGGTTAATATCCACAACAGAAAAACCCGGAGGGGGAGAAAAGTCACTTGTATCAGGGGTCAGGCTGATGGTGCGAAGAGAGGGAAAAGAGGCCCGGCTTTTCGGAGTCAAAGGTAAAGAGGTCCGCACATTAAAAGCGGGTGGCCGGTTTATGCCTTTACTGACAGTAACTTTGGAAAGAGAAGCCGCGGGGATGAACCGCATAAAGTAACAGCAGAAAGCGGCCGCCCGCTTTTAATGTGCGGACCTCTTTACCGCTGACTCCGGAAAGCCGGCCCACTTTACCGCGGTAGGAGAACAGTGATGGCGAGCCGCAAGAAATGCGCTCCACTTCTGCTGAGGAGGGAGCCCACCAAGCCCATCACTGTGTCACACATGCTCATTTCATGTGACGAAAGGGCTGTTGGGGGGGGGGGGCGGGGGTCGCGGGTTAGCAGGGCATTTATGATGGGGGTCGCGGGCTAAAAACTTTGGGAACCCCTGGCCTACAGGAGGCAGAGACGTTTTGTGACTCTTTCTGTGAAAGGTGTTATATTAAAAAAACATGACTTACTTACAGTGAGGAGTCTTGGCTGTACAGTTTATTTTACTCTCGAGTCTCTGTTAATTCTAATAACATGAAATGACAAAGTAAACATCATTATTTACAGCATAATCTTTGAAAGATATGAAACTGGAGCTGACCTGTTGTGCTTTCTCAGTCTCACCACTGGAGGGCGTCCGATCAGTGACAAACTCCTCTGCTCTCTCGTAAAAGGTCCACGCTAAAGCTTGAGAAAAGCAGTAAAAAATCTACTTTGGGGAAAACAGCAGAGAAAAGTGGAATATGGGACCTTTAATGTGTCTCTGTCATGTCTCTATTTTTCATGTTTCTCTCATGTCTCTTGTTTCCAGGTGAAGCGCAGTGCCTCAAATTTCCAGAACTCTGCTCCGAAGAGAATCTGTAGAGAAAACAAACCTCCGTCTGTGACTCAGAGAAGTGTCTTCAGCTTCCTGGGACACTGACCTCCACCCCTCATCTATCATCTACTTATTACTATTACTAATCCTCCTACTCAAGCTGTCGACGCTGCAAAACATACGAGTGTGGTTTTTAATTTTAATCCGAGCACATTCTGTCTTAAAACCAGATTCTCCAATGGGACAAAGACATTTAGTCTTATTTCCAGAACTGTTGCATTTTGCAGTCCAAGGGAGACATTTCTTGTATCTTTTTAAAAACCAGATAATTTTGCTTTGTCCCATTGGATGTTGTTAAGTCAGAATGTGCTCTTTATTTTTCTCATCACTTTTTGCAGTGTGTCGAGTTGCAACATTCAGAAAAATCCAGTGTTTTGAATCTGATTCTTTCCATTTTAAAAGATGCAGATTTGGAGCCTTTTATCCTGAAGTTCTGTACGAATTTGAGTCTTGTATCAAGACTTTAAGGGAGCCTCTATTTTTTTAACACGTTTTCATTTTCTGTAATAAACTTTCAGAAAATACACAAGCTTGATTAAAATGTATTATGTAGATTTTTATATTTTCATGACACTTTTTCTACTGATTTCATTCATAAAAATCTAAATCTCTCGACGATCAGTCTTCAGGACGATGTCCCAGACTAACTAAAGCTCGGGTACCTGACTTTCCCCACAGCAATCTGTCTTCATCTTAGAAAACATATTCTTCTATGTCAGAGACAGCCCTGGGAGTCAGTAGCTGACTCCCCAGGCTGGGAGCTGATTGGCTGAGAGTCCTCTTTGATCTGTGACATCACACATACATGATGTGAAACTAGTTCTGGCTAAAACAGTTGCCGCTGTCTGTAGATACATGGGTTTGATACAGAGTTCTATTGGTCTGAGAGTTGGACCCAATCTAACATTTTCTTCTGGTTAGTCTTCCTCCCTAGTCTCTTCTTTCAAAAACTGAAACTGCACTAGGTACAAACTCATCTATTTACAAGAAAAAAAATAATAATTATACATTATTATTTTTTTCAAATCTCTGGTCTCTTATGTTTTGTGTAAAGTTTCATTGTAAAAAGCCTGATTTTAGAGTTTAAATGTTTTAACTGTAAATAAAATTGTATTTAAAAAGTAACACCTAATGTTTCTTACTGTGAGTGAACAGGAGTCTTGTGCTGGAAATGGCAGCAAATCCTGAGTAGCTCTGAAACAGTTATTTTATGCTTAACAATCGTTATTTTTTTGCTTTTTTCTGCCTGAGATGTTGCTGCAGTACAGTGTTCATGGTTTTGCACTGGTCTAGACGGGAACAGAGTATTCATGATCCTAAAGAGCAGATCAGGTGAAATTCCCCTGGAAAAAGGATCACTTTATAAAAAATGCTAATGAAACATTCAGCCTTTTACTCTGGACTAGAGCAGAGAAAATGGTCCGAACCGAGCAGCTACTCCACGTCTGCTGCTGTGACCTGAAGGGCTGTTGCTTATTATTACTATTATCTTTTTAGAATAATCAATTTTATTTTTGCTGCTACTGGACACTTGAATTTCACCTATGCAGGATCAATAAACTATCTGCTTTTAGTGCAGTGACATAGTGTGTGTGTGTGTGTTGCCCTGGTGACGGTTTCCACGGTCACGTAAACAAGAGGACGATCGCGTTTCACAAAATGTTTAATTCACACAAGGAGAGAGTGAAGGCTGTGTTGAAAAATCTATTGGATCCTTGTGAGTCAGTATCTGCCTCTTTGGGCTGACGGCTGAGTGAAGCTGGTCCTCTTGGATCTGAAATTGGACTTTTTGAAGGTGTAAACAAAACAATTGTGTTCTTTATAATTGTAGTTCCCTTTTAAGTCCTCAGAGATGACTGCTGTTGGGATTTAGAGCGATACAAAAATATGTTGAATTTATAAGCCCTGTTTCGACTCCCCTCATTGGGAATGTTTCCTCTGGTCCTCTGTAACCAGTACCAGATCCTCCTTCAGTCCCTCTTGATCCTGGTTCTAACTGACAGTGATAGGCCCGAATGCTGCTAGAAGCCATGGTTACCAAGGATATTCCCAGATAGTGCTTTTTTGTGTGTAGGTTGCAAGGACGGGGTACCAGATTCTAAAGTGTAGCGGAAACATAAGCACCAGGTAGAGTACTGAGTCTGTCAGCTTTGTCTATCTGTTCAGTCTCACTCAAAGGCGCTGAGACCAGGCTCATACCATTCTCTTTGGTGGAGGGGGGGAGGGGGAGGAGATCTTGAGGACCACTTCAGCAGCTCAGGGGGGAGGACTTCACCAAATCACTATTGTGTTGAGATTCAGAGACAGTTGTGGATCTGAAACAGGCCTGTGTTTGAGGGGGATTAGCTGCATTGAGCTGCTTCTCACTTTGTTCGTTTTGGAATTTGACACTGAAGAATCACAGCAGGAGATTCAACCTCAATCTACAGCCTGTTTGCACCAGCAGGGCTCAGGTCTGCTCATTTGGCATTTGTCTGGTTCCGGTCTGGTCCTCTCTTCAAATGATTCCTGAAGACAATATTCTCATGATCCTGATTTTCTAATCAACACAAATCATCAACAATGAGTTTGTGATGGGTTCACTGTGTTTGTCCCACTTCCTGTTTCCTCGTCACTGATCCTGGTCTCATGTGGCAGCGATGTGTTTGAGGTAAACCGACACTCCAGTATCCTTTACACTGTGGACCAGACCAGACCAGACTGGACCTGCACCAGATCAGACCCAGATCCTCTGTTGCTATGGAAGCCTCAGTAATTCACGCAGAGCTCAGATGAGATGAAGATAAAGTGTGTTTTTGAACCAATTTTGAAAAGTGACATTTGACGGACGACTGGAACTCTTTGGTTCAAGCAGAGGGTTCTTCAGTCTCTGTTGAAACCGTGACGATTGGATGAAACTCGGCTATAACCATTGCATCGAATTCAGTGTGGATTAACTTCTGCTCCTGGTCTCTGGGATGTTACATCTTCAATAACATGTGTTTTCATGTTCCTTAATCCTGGATCAGAGGCTCGAAGTCTGTGTTTATTTGGAAGCAACACTTTAACTTCTAGTCTTTAACCTCGGGCTGAAAGATAAAGGCTTAAAGAGGAAAGACTACCATGAACATGTTTAAATTCAAAGAGTTGGATTTTCCAGGAAAAAGTGAATGAGACCCAAGCCTTCTAAACCCACTGCGTTTAAACTCTGAGAGACGGTAACGCTGCAGAGACTGTTGGCTGGTTTCTCTCTGGAGGAACCTTTGGTCTCGTCAGACTTCATCTCTGTAACTGAGCAAACGCCTGTGGATTCACCTGGACCTTAAGAAGTCTGTGGAACAACGACTGTTTCTATGTCTCAAAACTCAACTTTTTGGAAGCGAGAAGTCGAGTGGACGATGAAGCCGATACTTAAGCTCTGGATTTTCATTATTCATTGAAAATCATTTGTTTATTTCTGGACAAACTGCACTGAACTTATTTCTCACAAAGATTTTCCCAGTCTTCACCAAACCATCGAGCAACAGCAGAAGCTGCGCCATCGAGCACCAGTAGACGTCTCTGTTTTGAGAGGAAGACGATCCCTGAAACAGATCCTTCTGTGGAAATGTGACACGTGGCTCAGATTTTCATTATTAATTGAACATATTTTGTTTCTCTGGAGACATTTTTTCATGATGATAGACTGAACCTTTATGGACGATTCTTAATATTCTCAAAGTCAGAGATCCATTTGAAGAAGCATTTACTTTTCCTCTTTCTGGTCTCTCTCTGGACCTGGATTTCCATTATTATTGTTCTTAGAGAATTTAGTGAAGACATTCTTCGACACAACGGAGTGGATTCTCACAAAAACGGTCCTCGTCGACTGAACAAGACTTTATCTCGTGTTTATTATCGACCCGTTAGTCTCGCCTCCCTTCTCACACCAACACTACACTAAACTACTCTACGCTCCTCCCGTCGTCATGGTGAACACAGGGATGCAGCTCATCAGCTTCACGTGTGCAGTCACCGGGTGGATCATGGCAATCGCAGTCACGGCGCTGCCTCAGTGGAAAGTCTCCGCCTTCATTGGTCCAAACCTCCTGACGTCTGAGATCAAGTGGGAGGGCATCTGGATGAACTGTGTGTACCAGACCACAGGCCACATGCAGTGTAAGACTTACGACTCCATGTTAGCTCTGCCCCCCGACATCCAGGCTGCGCGCGCCCTCATGTGCATCGCCATTTTCATGGGCTGGTTGTCCTGCACCGTCTCCTGCTGCGGTATGAAGTGCACCACCTGCGCCGGTGACGACCGCCGAGCAAAGGCCGGGATTGCGCTTTCCGGCGGTGTGCTCTTTATCCTCACGGGTCTCTGCGTCCTGGTCCCTGTGTCCTGGACCGCCAACACGGTGGTACGGGATTTCTACAACCCCAACGTTCCGGTGATGCACAAGCGTGAGCTGGGCCAGGCCATCTACCTGGGCTGGGCGGCTGCAGTCATCCTAATGCTCAGCGGCGCCGTGCTCTCCTCCACCTGTCCGGCCATCGAGAAGGGCGGGCGCTACCGCCGCGGGTTCGCAGGCCGCAGCTTTGCCAACTCCCCACCGACAATGCAGGAGACCAGCAAACCAATCAGCACCAGCAGTGTCCCTCTGAAGGAGTATGTGTGACTCTGCTCTCTCTCTCTGGTCGCTCTCTCTAGTCTCTTTCTGGCCTTGCTCTCTCTGGTCTCTCTGTAGTGGTACTTGTGCTTCACAGCAGAATTTCCTGGGTAATCGAACCCAGGATGTTCTGCTCCAGATCTTTCTATGTGGAGTTTGCATCTTCTCCCCATGTCTGTGAAGGTTTCCTTCAGGTGCTTCAGTTTCCTCTATCATTAAACAACAGTAAAATAGTGTTGACGAGTGTGGGACTGATGGATATTAGTTTCATCTCCTGCCGTGGACACGCATCGTTCCAAGCAGATAGTGACTCACAGGGTTCTTTCTGATACAAAAGATGACGACAGCAGGATGTGTCTGATTTGTTCACATTCACTTGTACAGGAGTTTTCTGTTCAAATTAAATGTTATTTATGAAGTTACAGACCCCAGCTTTAATGTGTTCAACTAGAGTAGAGTTAGATAGTAGTGTAGATTTACCATGTTTTTTTATCACAGTATTTATGTTGTATTATCTTGTGTTGTGATGTCGCATCTGAACAAAGAGTATTTATCCTGTGTTTTATTGATGCTTTTGTGGATTTTAAGTGGTCTTTATTCTATATCTGTGCAATAAATGAGTTCATGCAGTCTCTTTCTCTGATCTCTCTCTGGTCAATACAATACAATACAATTTATTCTTGTAAAGCCCTAAATCACAACAGCAGTCATCTCAGAGGACTTAACAAAACCATTGTTATATATATATATATATATATATATATATATATATATATATATATATATATATATAATTTATGTATATACATAACCTGAGGAGGCTCAAGTCTTTCGGAGTGCAGGGGCCACTCCTGAAGACTTTCTATGACTCTGTGGTGGCATCAGCCATCTTGTACGGTGTGGTCTGCTGGAGCAGCAGCATCACAGAGAGGGACAGGAGGAAGCTGGACAAGGTCATCAGGAAGTCCAGCTCTGTCCTTGGCTGTTCCCTGGACACAGTGCAGCAGTTGGGGGACAGGAGGGTCCTGAGCAAACTAACATCTATGCTGGACCATGACTGTCGCCCCCTGCAGGACACTCTCTGCTCTGGAGAGCAGCTTCAGTGACAGACTAATTCACCCTCGCTGTGTGAAGGAGAGGTTCCGTAGGTCTTTCCTTCCTGCTGCTGTCAGACTGTACAATAAGAACTGCTGAGCCTGTAAATTTCATTCATCTGTAAATAAGTAAATTCTTAAATCATGTGCAATGTGCAATACTGCAACTTCAGGATGTCACAGAACAATGTCACTTTACCTCATGTCACTTTTTGGCACTATTTAACTGTACAGTATATAACTGCACTACTACTACATATATATATATTTGACTGGTATTGAACCATTTTCAGCATCTACAGCTAGTTATGTTCGCTAAGAAACATAGCTACTACTTATTTGTATATATATTGTGTGTGATCCCTGTGTGCTCTTACTACTGTCCTGTATGTGTGCGAAAATAGCTTTGGAGGATGCTACTGCGCTTGATCAATAAGATAGCTTAGCTACAGAAAAGTTACTTGGTTTATAGTGACGCTACCAGTAAGCCATAGTTAAGCTAGTAGCGTCGCTACTAGCGGTCCTACTAGGTCCTGTCATTGCACCATGAATCAGACAATGAGACAACTGGTGAATAGCAATGAACAAACTACAGTCAAAATCCTAAAGCTAAACAGATAAAGTAGGAAGGAGAGGATAGTGCTGAAGTTACCATACTTCTCCCAGCAAACTGACTCCCTATGCAGCTTGACTGGCAGTCTGAGGAGTTTAGCTTAGCCTAGAACGAAGGGTTGAAGATGCAGCGGGCCGGGTCCCACATACGCAGACTCCAAGACCGGACGAAACCTGACCAGACAACAACCTAACCAAATGCTAAGTTGAAAAAGAGTGTTCTAAGCCTGGCCTTAAATGTAGAGACAGTGTCTGCTTCCTTAACGTGGCTGGGGAGCTGATTTCACAGTAAAGGAGCTTGGTAGCTAAATCGCATGGCGCCATAAAGATGGCGCCGTGGCAAGAGCTCTGATGTGTGCCGTCTGTCTGGTGCACACTGGGGTAGTCTTGCACAGTTTTTCCAATGTGGTTTTACTGAAAATGGCAAATAAATGATTCTGAATCTGAAATGATCTGCCCCCGACAGTGCTTTTTGAAACCTTAGGGACCACCAGACGTCTGGCGTTTTGCGAGCGCAGTGCTCGGCTTGGTTGATAAGACATTAACATGTCTTGGAGATAAGAAGTAGCCAAGCTAATTATGGCTTTGTATGCCAAGAGAAGAATTTTAAACTTTATTCTGTACTCCACAGGAAGCCAGTGGTCTGGTCTCTCTCTCTCTGGTCTCTCTTCCTCTGGCTGCTCTCTGGTCCCTCTCTTGTCTGTCTGGTCGCTCTCTGGTCTCTCTCTGTTTTTTCTCTGGTCTTTCTCTCTGGTCTCTCTGGTCTTTCTCTGGTCTCTCTTTGGTCTGTCACTCTCATCTCTCTCTGATCTCTCTCTTCCTCTGGTCTCTCGCTCTATTTCTCTGGTCTCTCTTTCTGTTATAAATTGTGAAGACATTAAAACCCAGCAGTTTGTTGATGATTAGGTTAATTAATGCCTCATTGACTGCAATATGAGCCGCAGTCCTGAGGCGCGGCCGCAGGGGACGCCATCGCGCACAACAGGAGTCATTAGTTTTTATGATCCTCGATACGAGGCGTTAAACCATGGATCTATTACAGACGGAGGTTTGTGTCCTCAGGATTCTCAACCTTTGACCTGATGTTTCATGGTGTCAGTAAAGCTTGGGTGCCTACGTTTCTGTTTTGTTCTGTTTCTAATGTTTTTGACCATAAAGAGATCAGAGAGAGAGAAACCAGTGTACAGACCTCCTTTTAAGTCTCCGATAAACAGTGTTGGGAGCAGACTCTGGAGGCCACTTCAGATTCTGAACCACATTTGAAACCACAGAGAAATGATCATGTGACGATTGGAGACAGAGGAGAGAGAGAGCAGTCTGGGACGTCGACATGTGACATCACCAGCTGTGTGTCAGGTCAAAGACACCTTTCTGAATACATACTGGATGTAGCTACTTAAAGGCCAAAGTTAAAATGTAGGTATCAATTCAATGTATTGTGTATGTGTGTCTAAACCACAGCAACAATCCTCCTCTGAGGACTTTACAAAGCTGTGGATTTACCTACAACAGATCAGAGAATAAACAGTAAAAACACAGAATTGAAATTATAACTAATCTGGAGGCTGTAGATCCAGGACTGAGGCTGTAGTAGAAGAGCATAGGGCTTTTACTATACTTCTCCAGCAGGGAGCTCCATATGCCTTGTCAGAGACAAGTCTGTGTTTTTAGTGCACTCAAGGGTTTGAGTGCGCGGGTTACAAGCGTGCAAAAAAGGTGGAATTGGGACAGTAGAGGTTGTGTCATCAACTAGTCAAGAGATGGTCATTTTCAGACCTAAACTTTATCAAATTAAAGGTAATTTTGTCCGACCCTGTGGGAGTTGCTCCACACATGTTAAAATAAATTTAAATTGTTTTTTATACATCCTAAGTTTTTTGTACTAAGTGAAAAGTTTAAATTGAATGCTATATGAATGCTTAGATTCAAAAAGTTATGAAATTGTTACCATATAATGTCCGTAATTCTTCATTCTGTCATTAATGCTTCTTTCCAAGTAACATAGCGAAACTTATTAACACACATACAGCTGTAGCCCTTGTTTTCTCATTATTTACTTGACTTTGACTTTGACACATGAACTTTTTTGCAGATGGACTTGACAGCAGCCTCTGGAATTGTCTCCCATTCTGTACTCTCAAAGTTTCTGGACAGGATGTCTGCGTCGATATTGTGCTTGCCGGGACGATAGTGAACATTGAAGTCATATGTAGATAGCGCTGCAAGCCACCGGTGTCCGACTGCATTGAGCTTGGCAGTAGACAGCACGTACGTCAACGGATTGTTATCTGTACGCACTGTAAATCGAGGACCGTATAAGTAGTCATGAAAGCGATCCACCACTGCCCACTTTAACGACAGAAACTCCAGTTGATGTACTGGGTATCTCTTCTCAGCCTGGCTTAGCTTCCTGCTAGCAAATGCAACTGGCCTTAACTCATTGTCCTCTTGCGGCTGGTACAGGACAGCTCCCAGTCCTTTGAAGCTTGCATCCACATGAAGTTCATAGGGCTTGGTTGGATCTGCAAAAATCAGAACAGGTGCATGCGTAAGGCAGTAGATGATCTGGTGAAAGGCTTGGGTGCAGGAATCATCCCACCGCTCTCTAAAGGGTTCAGACTCTTTCAGGTAGGACTTGTTTTGTTCAGCACTCTTCTTTCGGTTCTTTTGCGTTGGGGCATAACCTTTGGTTAGTTCCGTCAAGGGTCTTACAATAGCAGCATAGTTTGCAATAAATCTTCGGTAGTATCCACAAAAGCCCAAGAACGAACGAAGAGACTTAAGCTCTTTTGGTTGAGGCCAGGAATGACAGCCTCAATCTTCTGGGGATCAGGGGAGACACCTTGAGCAGACACGATATGCCCCAAGTATTTCACTTCTGGCTGGCAAAACTGGCATTTATCCAAGGAGATCTTCAGCCCCACTTCTGCGAGACGATCCAAAACTTTGAGCAGTCGCTCTTCATGTTCCTCCAAAAATTTTCCAAAGACTATGAGGTCGTCTAAGTAGACCAAGACCTGAAGGAGATTCATATCACCGACTGTCCTCTCCATTAATCTTTGAAAAGTTGCAGGGGCACCAGTTATTCCCTGTGGCATTCTTTCGAATTGGAAGAAGCCGAGCGGGCAGATGAATGCTGTCTTCTCTTTATCTTCCTCTGCCATGGGAATCTGATAGTACCCACTGCGCAGATCGAGCACAGTAAACCATTTGCTTCCCGACAGTGAATAGAGGGCTTCATCTATGCAGGGAGTAGTGTATTGGTCTGGCACTGTTCTGCTGTTGAGAAGCCTGTAGTCTATG